TGGCAGGACATCATTAGCATGCGTCACAGTTTACAGCTTTCGGTGTCAGCAGTGACATCAGCACTGCAAGACAAGACACAGGGGAATAGAGCTGACCGGTGGGGGAAGTGTTGATTGGCATAACTGGGCAGGGAGCATTATGACTAAGCTCATTTATAGAATACACCCAGAGCTGTAAAATATGCCACGTAAGCCTAATGTAACAAACCCCACCAGTTAAGAGTGAAAAATCATTTTGCAACTTATAATTCTGTGTGTAGAGATCAAGCTGTGTGTACTAGGGGGGCCTATATTTAACCTACTTCAATCTGACTAAACACTATAAAATAGAGCACTTTACTTTCTGTCTCTTGCTTGGTCGACAAACAAAAGTAGACTAAACTCTGCTCAAAGATGTCAGTTCTTGAGTTCTCGCAATCCCATCCTGTTATCTCCCTGTAAACAATTTAGTTTCAGCTCTTCTCTTTCCACTGATTACACTCCAAGAGTTGTTACCTCAGACTTTAAGACACAGCAAAGTCAGCACATAAACTCAATGGAAGTAAATTACAACTGCTCAGACACAATTGCGCCATTAGTGAATGTTTAGACGATCCCATGGGGCAACAAAACCACACACATCGTCGCTCACACAAGCACAACAGTCCCACACACACTCGCCTTGTTTATCCTTCCATGCAGAACCAGACATGGTGCCTAGCAAGCCCTTGATCAAACACGAGTAGACCCCTCCCTCTCATGAGCACTGACCTAGCGATGAACCATTCATTATCGGCTACTCAATGCAAGTGGTAGGTTGAGGAGCGCAGCCTTGAAAGATGCATATGCTGATCCCATTGGTCAATGGCAAAGAGTTAGGAGAAATCTTCAAATCCAGGATATAAAATAACCAGATTGGGGTGGGTGCAAAGATGTTTTTCCACCCAGAAATTAGATTTTGGTTGCCTCACTTATTAGGCAAATCTGAGTTATTTTCAGGATTAAGCGATGGGTATCGTGGTCACTTGGCAGCTTTGTTAAACTTTAAGTCACCCTCTCACTACGCCCACCAGCCTCCCACCCTCCGGCCCCTCCACCTCTCCCTGGGGTTGGTGGGGTCTTATCTCCAGTGGATGTGGGCTCCTCTGGCTTCACACAAAGCCTCATGTTGACATTCCAGAGGACCGAGCCTTGTACAAACACACCAGGCCCCACCAGATGGCTCGGCGAGGGAGGACAGGGCAAGGACCAAGGACGCAGAGGAGGACAAGGAAGGACAGGAATAAACAGCAGGATCAGAAAATGGCTTTTTCCACCAAAATGTCAGGCTACCATTAATCAGTCTGTCACTGGGGCAGATGTCCTTCTATCTTCTGAGAAACTTTTCTTTTGCTAACTCTGATACTTGGATGTCACGGTCAATTCAATACATACACTGGAGTAAAAGTGTTGTTCTCATGTCCTCCAGCTACTGCCCCGTCTACATAGAGTCAAGCAAAGCTAATATTTGAGGGTCACTGGGTTAATCTTGAGGGCATTAGGAAACCATGGAGTAAAAACCCCTCAAAATGAAAACTCATTTAGGGCTTTAGCTGAGCGTAGGGGGTCATGTTTATCAGACGAGGGCAAGAAAGTGTCAAGGCTCCATGAGTCCTTGGGGCATTTGTG